TTTCAAGAACGCCCTATTTCAGAATTCGTTTCAAAAACGCTCTATCTCAGCGGCCGATTCAAAAACGCCCTATATCAGCAGATTTTCAATACATTTTGAAGTAAGATAGGGCGTTTTTGAATCGAATTCTGAGATAGGGTGTTTTTCAATAAAATTCTGAAAGAGGGCGTTCTTGAAAAGTTTTTTGAGATAGGGCTTTTTCGAACTGGCTGCTGAGATAGGCCGATCTTCCACTCAGCAGCCGATATGCTCTCGATTAGCGGAACATTAAAGACGGCAATCAAAACAACCTACTGCTAGGTAGGGGGTCCACTTTGCGCTGTTAATGCGATGCGTTAACCCACTGAGGGCTTGTGTGCCTCACCATCGTACTTCCAATTATTCATCAAAATAAATGTCAGACAGATTACAGTTAGCAATTTTTATGCAATTGATGATTGCAATCAAAAATTAATTGCAATCAAAAAGTTATTGCAATCAATTTCTTCTAATGATTGCAAATTTAAATTTTTGCAATCAAAATATAAGCAATCAATGTTAATTGCAATTCAACCAGATTGCAATATTACGTAAAATATGCGATTGCAAACCAATTTAATTGCATAGAGTGACGTTGATACGGCTCAGTAACGTCAACGCGCAGTGGTTCAAAGTTGGCCTTTTGTGTTCACAATTCCCTGGAGCCTTAATTCTTCACTCATTTTGATTAACTGTTTTTTTTTATATAAATCTAATGCAATATTGTTATTGAGTTTTGGGCACGAAGAATGGAACTTAGCAAACAAATCGTGGTACAAAGCTCAATAACACTATTGAAATAAATATTAATAGGCCACAATAAATTTTAAAAGGGAAACTAAATAATACAATTCGCAAGAGACCCGTTGAGCCCGATATTTAATTTTTTGTTTGTTTGTATGAAATTTTTTAGTGAGAAAAGCTGAAAAAATAGCAAATTTTGAAGAAAATCGATTCTCCTGTTCCTGTTAATAAATATTACATAACAAAAACTAGTTCAAACTGGTGATTTTTGGCGTTTGGATCTTTGTCAATACAATGCAATTTTTTTACATTTTAATTAATACATTGTAATTAATACATTTTTGCAACTCCTACCGATCTGGATCAAAACCTTCATATTCAATATCTTTCGCTATTGCACCCAGCACATTTTGAACTTTCTGGGAATGCGTACCGGAATTTTCACGCCAAATCTCAAAAACATGCAATCGAGAAAGTTCGCAGTGGTAACTTGTGCTTAGAAACATTTTTAATTAGAAAATTAGATAAATCAAAACATAAATATGAACAAAACTGTAGAAAATAAAGAGCTTAGATTACGTTATGGAATACTACGCGAGCCTCTGCAGGTCGATGCATCTACACTGAAAACTTTTATAATCTTTAAATATTAACAAACAATATGTAAATAAAAATATTGAGGGCCGATAGGGAAAACACACTTAAAACATTACCTAAATACTTGAAAGACGAACCAAGAAACACACAAAATCCGACTTTTCTAAAACAACGATTTGCATAAAACACAACACGAATTACTAGATTTATTGCTTCAGATATGGCAATAATTTGGTCTGAATATACAGAACTATAGTATGGGACAATTGATTTTTTTATAATTTCGTTTTCTAAGGTTATGCTATATGAGGTGCTTTGATTGATCTTAGATCCATCAGTATAAATAAAAGTATAGTTATGGTATTTATTTCTAACTTCGGTGAACATTGCCTGATATTGAATCGGATTCGTGTAGTTTTTGTTGAAGATATGCAATGAAAGGACCATGAGGGATAGTTATGGGTACCATATTTAGCGGGCTTTAGAGGTATATCTACTGCTGAGCAAAGTTCTATGATTCTACTTATAGCAGGCTGTATTTTGAGGGTGTTTTTCCCCTTTTTTAGGTTATTGGCGATACTATAAAGCGGGTTGTCTTACCTTGTTATAAGAGCTTTAAATAATTTAGCGGTAGTTAAGTCTCTTTGATTTTCAAAGTTCAATATTTTTGATTCAAAAAATAAATTTGCGATTGGTGTAGAGCGCAGCGCTCCCAACGCGGTTCTTATCGCCGCGTTAAGTAGTGACTTGACTTTGTTTATAAGAGATTTAGGGGCGTAGCCGTAAAGAGAAATGCCATAACTTATTTTGGGTATAATTAGTGTTCTAACAATTGTTAAGATAGATTGAGTGTCGCAGTTAAATTTTGGGGCAGCTAGACATTTCACAATGTTTAATTGTGTGACCAGAGAAGCGCTTAGGTGTTCGATGTGGGGGTTCCATCTGTATCTCTTGTTGATGATGATTCCTAAGATTTTTAACTCATCACAGGGTATGAGGCTTATGCTTCGTGATAGTACAGTGCACAGTTGTGCTTTCGACAGAGATGAATGTATAGATTTTTTGTTGGTGATAAGTTTGCTCCTGAGTAATCGCACCAAGTTAAGATGTCTTGAAAAAGGTTATTCAAGTCAGTTGTTGGACACCTTTCTTTTTTTGATTTAATTATAATGTTGAAGTCGTCTGCGTAGGCGCAAAAGTCAATTTCTTTGTGGAGTGATATTACAGAGCATAGTTTGTCATATGCAATCAGGAAAACAATGACAGATAAAGGGGATCCTTGGGGAATACCGTTGTCTGTTGCCCAGAAATCAGAGAGATGGTTACCTATTCGTGCCATAAACTTACGATTTGTCATAAAGTTAATAATATAATTAGTGATGTTGGGGCCGGCCTTCCATTTTGCGAGTTGGTCAATTACTGTGTGAATGCCTATTTTGTCATACGCCTTTTCAAAGTCAAGGGAAATAATTGTTAGGTGGCTTTTGGATGAGAGCTTGGCTGCAGCTAGATAGTCTAACAGTAGTCCTCTCTTGAAACCCATTTGTCGGCTGTTCAGTAATTTGTTTTTTGTTACAAACCACCAAAGCCGATTTGCTATTATCCTCTCTAAAACCTTAGAGAAACATATGTTTAAAGATATCGGTCTGTATGATTTTGCTTGTCTTTTATCTGATTTTGGTTTTGGTATTGGTATAATAATGCTGTGTTTGAAGGCCTGCGGGATAATTTTGTTATGAAGAATGGAATTGAATAAGTTTAAGAGACGCTTTTTAAAAGTTTCAGGAGAGTTTCGGATGATTGGGTATGATATCCTATCTAAGCCTGGGGTTTTCCCTTTTAGCTTAGTTAATGCAGATATCAGTTCCAGATAGTTTATATCTTGTTCTAATAGCTTCGCATCTCCACAAGGTTGTACATATACATGCGATTGTAAAGTCGCTCTTTTTCTGTTTTGAAAAAGAGTTGGAAAGTTTTGGTCCGAAGTTACATTGCTCCAGTATTTGGCGAGCTCGTTGGCGATATCTTTTGGATCTCTGTGGGTTTGAGTGGGATTGCTTAAGGACTGCAAGCAGTGTATACCGTGAGGTAGTTTGTATCCACAAAAGCGTCTTATATTTATCCAAATTTTCTTGGTAGGGGTGCTAGGATTAATTTCAGCTGTGAACTTTCGTATCGAATGTTGTTTAGAGGTTTTAATTTCTCGCTTTAATGCAGAGTTTGCCTTTTTATATTCAATTAAATTGAATTCAGTCATGTTCGTCCTGAATATATGAAACCGTCTGTTTTTCTCAGCTTTTAGCTTGCCTAGGTTATGATTCCACCACGGCACTGATTTCTGTTTTTTATTATTTCGTGTTTTAGGTATGGATTCATTAGCAGATTGTAGGATAATTTTCCTTAGGTTGGCTGCTTCTGCATTAACATTACAGCTGATAGGTCGGATTGACTCGAAGTGAATACATTTCTTTTCAAATAGTTCCCAGTTTGCAAGGTCAGTTTTGAATGAAGTCTTAGTTGTTGTGTTCGTTTGGTTAACAGACGGAAAGAGTGAAATGAGAATTGGGAAGTGATCGCTTCCCTTTAGATCATTGTGAGTCCTCCAATCAGCGTGAACTGCGAGATCGGGGGTACAGAATCAGGTCTATGTGCGTGAGTGTGTCATGAGTGGAAAAGTGTGTTGGCGATTTGTCGTTTAGTAGTACGAATTGGGATTGATTAACAAAATTCGACAATATGTTGCCCTTCTGTTTGTTAGCGCGTGAACCCCAACTTTGGTGCCAACAATTGAAGTCACCAGTGATAATGCACGAGTGGTTAGTTTGATTAAATACATTCTCTAGGTTGCGGTTATGGAGACGGTAGGATGGGGGACAATAGGCTGACGTGATTCTGAATTTTTTTGTTGAGTGTATTTCTAAACTTATGTTGTCAAAGTCCTTTTCAGTTTGAATTACTTCATGTTGTATAGATTTATGTACTAGTATAGCTACACCTCCGTATGATGAGTGTGAGTTGAATGAGTACAAAAGGAAGTTGTTAGGAATTGGGACGTTTTGGAATTGTGTCGGGATGTGACTATCTTGGATAGAAATGATCTTAGGTTTGTAATTGTTAATGAGGATTAGCAATTCATTATAATTGTTAAGATATCCGTTCATATTCCATTATATGATATGTAGTGACATGATAAATTATATGAGGGAGTTTATTTAAATATGTATATATGTATGTATGTGTGTGTATTATAGAATGTAAGATATAAATTAAGTAGTTAAGTTAAGTAAGTCATTGATCCGTAAGCATTGATTCTGATGAATCAGAATCGATATCTGCACTAGGTAACGTTAAATCACAATCTTGCTTACAATTTCCCTTTAACTTGTTGATTTTTTTTAACATGGCTTTTGTTCTGTTGGAGATTTTTTTGGGTAGATTTTCGTTCTGTTATCGTTTGTAATTTGTTGCACAGTGCTTTTAGTTAAAGTGTTACTATTGAGTATGATGTCTGAGTAGTCCGTTTGCTCTCTCGGTTTGATACCTGATGAGTGTGATAGTTGAGATGTGTGTTGTAGATTCGTAGTATTGAGTGGGAGTGTGAATTGAATGCTGTTGCTGGAAGTAGGGTTTGTGTTGCTTACTGTGGTGGTTCTTGCTGTCATTGATGAGTGTGGTGAGTCTGCGCTCTTGTTATACGAGTTGTTTGCTTGGTTGTTGGTAACTACTTGGTTTGTTTTTGCTATCTTTGATGAGTACGTTGCTGAGTGGAGTGGGTGACGTTCTTCGTATGTGGCTATCGCTCTTCGTCTATCAACTTTCTATAGTGTGATGATCGCTTGTATTTATTTTTCTTTAATGAAAACCGGGCATTTCTTGTCGAGTGCATTGTGGTCAGCATTTTCTGATTTGTTAGTACAGCTAATGCAAGTTGATGGGTCAGTGCACTTGTCACTAGTTTCGAAGTCAATGTGAGAAGTTTTCGCGCAATTTGCGCATATTTTAGTGTTATTGCAGATTTTTGCTGAGTGACCGCATTTTAGACAGTTCATGCATCTTAGTGGGAGGGGTATGTAGGGCCTTAGTTTTACTTTTTCATATCCGATCAGAATGTCGCTGGGTAGTATGGAGTTGTCGAATGTGATGATGAGTAAGCCTGTTTCGACTAAAATGTTTTCAACATTTTTCTTATTTCGCTTACGCCTTGGGTTTTAAGTTCGTTTTTTATTGTGTCTTCCGATATACCTATTAACTCACGTGAAAAGATGACACCTTTTGAGTGGTTGAAATTATTGTGCTCAGACACTTCCACTTTAATATACGGGGATAGGGCAGACAATGTTATTAGTTTACTTGCTTGCACGAATGTTTTTGTCTTAACTAGAATACTTCCATTCCTCAATTTCTTGCACATTTCAACTTCACCGCCGCAAACTGAGTCTATGACTTTTTTTATAAGAAAGGGGACACTTTTGAGAGGGTTGCCGCGCTTTCAATTCTATTGATTATCAAGTATTTAGGCGTTTTAGAATTACTGGTTAATAGTTTGTATTTGTTGGTCTGGTACAAGAGCTGTTCTACAGCTTTGTCGCGATCAGGAGGATCAGCCATTTGGCTAAAGTTTGTTGGTTCGTTAAATTTACTTGGGTTTTCACTCAAACCGGCGATAATATGTATATTAGTACGTACTGACAAATAAGACGAGATTAGCGAATGAACCGTTCCGCGTGGGAGTCAGGCGTAAACTGAATTTTTACATACATTTTTTAATTTTGGCCTATGGCAGCAACCACTGTGCTATGTAGCATTCTCAGGTTAATTTTTATATACACTGCTTAGTCCTCTTCGTTCATGATTTTACTCAGTATTTCTCCAACGTTATTTCTGTTTCAGAACGATGTGTGAATGTCGAATTTTTTGGAAAACGTTGGCCAGTTTGTATGTCGTTTTGACCGCTTAAGTTAACACTTCACTCTTGTTCCTAATCTTTCAATCTTTTAGTAGTATATATTGGTCTTGCCTCTTTTTCCTTAGTTAATGAGGTTTGCTCAAGTCTAGTTATTAATTGTCTAAATGCCGCATTTTCGTGTTGTTGGGGGTGGTTTGAGGTATTATGTATTACTTCGCCGGTTGCTGTGGGCTTTCTGTATATCTCGTGTTCCAGTCTGTTGGTAGCCTTGTTTAGTTTAATCGTTAAATCCTAACAGTTCAGTTTTGCAGAATCTTCCTTATGCATCGCGAATGATATATTTTTGTGCTGTTTATTGGGATAGTCCAATATCTGACCCTCATTTTTCCCCGTTATTATACATATTATGTTATCTAAATATCTAGCGTAGGGCCTGACCCCAATTCCGACGGTGAACAACTCGAAAATTTTAGGGGTTACTTTTGATAAGCTGCTCTCCTTCTCCGTACACACAACCGCTATTGTCTACAAAGTACAGAGCCGCAAGAAGGTCCTCAAGGCGCTCGCCGACAGCACCTGGTAAGCCCCTCGGGTACGGGCCGGAATATTTGCTGTCAGCACGAACTCGTGCGTGCATGGGCGTTCAGTAAAATTTTATAAAAGCACGAAAAAGCCCGTTGCTCATACTACAAATTGAGATAAGCTTTTGTTTTTACACAAAAAAAAAAATTTACATAAGAGAAAAGCAAAAAAAGAAATATTTGGAAACCGATGGAAAAAATAAGATACTTAGTAGTTTTGTTTACATATCTGTACCAGGGTTATTGCGAATATTCGCATTGGCATTCGCAACCGCGGAGCTTCCGCATTAATTTTAACATTCGCATTCGCAATAATCAATGCGGAGCTTTTGCGAATGCGAATATTTTGCAAGTGGACCGATAAAACGTATATATGGCAAAAAAATTACATATTGTAGCCAATATTTTTGCCTGTGGTCGTAGGAGTATTTGTGTACCAAAACTGGTCAAATGTCATATTTATCAACTTTGATAAAAATGTCTTTAAAATATTATTTCTTAAGCTATATAACGGATCTATCAATGGGCAGCCATAAAAGTTCCCACATCTACTGACTTTTGACGTACGTCAAAGAGAACAGTCCTTTTAATAATATTTTTTTTCTGTGCTTTAAATACCTGCCTTGCTTTCTTTTTATTATGATTTTTTTGGACCAATCTTAAAAAACTACTAGACACAAAAGAAGAAAGTGTGCACTGTAATTCTTAACCAAATTTTCGTTATTTGCTTTTGATGTTAAATATATTCGTTTCAATAATAGTTTTGTTTACATGTTGTATAATTTTTTTTTCATAGGGATATGCAGTGGATCCTTGGCTAGAAACTTCTGTGGTAAAACTGTCCCTTCTTTGCTATTTAAAGTCAATGAGTAAGCTCCTTCAATAGGGATTTCCAGTAGAAATGATCAACGTCTAGCTATAAAGAGAATCGATGCTCAAATAATTAAAAAGCTATAGGTTTGACCTTTAATTAGATAAGAATTACGTAACTACCTGTTATTCAAATGCTTATAAAAAAACGGGGTGCTTCAAAAAAAAATATCAATATTCTGATCCGATTCGGCTGGCAGACACGACTTTGAAAACAGAAGTTTGTTCAAAAATAATAATCTATTTTCCACATCCACCTATTTAGCTCGCTATAAGTACAAATTTTTCAAAGCAGTCGCAGCAGAAAGTATTAAAAATGAATTACAAAAACTAAAATCGAAAAGTGCTGATAAAGTTACAGGTTCTCCAAATTCTTAAACAACATGACATATGTATCTGGTTTGGCTTGTAAGCGCTGTTTAAACAACGATCTTGCTATTATACTAGATTCTAATTATTTTTTAAAAATACTTGACATCCGCATTCGCATTCGCATCCGCTGATGTTAGCTGTTAGATATTCGCATCCGCGGATGCCTAAAATTCCACATCCGCAACATCCCTAATCTGTACATAAAATACCTTCCACTTTTTCTACTTCCCTGGAAATATATTATAAAAATTGATTCGCTTAAGTAAATATACATACATAAATACAAAATTAAACATATGTACAATAAAAGTTGGCTCTTTATCTCCGGGCTGGGACGTCGTGCCGGGCCGGGCCCCACTAAAATTCTTAACGTGCGGGTTCGTGCGTGTTTTTGAAAGTTGATTTTGCACTCGTGCCGGGACGGGTCTGAAAATTTAGGCCCGTGCCCATCTCTAGTCTGGATAATGTAGCTGAAAACGTTGGTTCAAATCAATCCGAAATCAAGTTGGACGTTTTGCCCACAAACATTGCAATTTTGCGAGCAGTCTCATTGTAAAATCTCATTTTTACAATTTCATAATCTCCGCTTACATTTATAAAATTCAACGAAAGCACGTACCTATTTCGGCTGAGTTATCCATTTTCGGTTATTTAGTGTACAAAATAAACGCAAATTAAATGAGTTTGTACAACATGGCCATTAATGTAGCAATAAGTTGTACAACTTGCCAGAAAATCCAAATTTTTTGATCTTTCATACCACCAAGACATAAATTCATTCAACAGGCCCACAAACGGTGCAATCTAGAGCAAAACACCACCAAGTTGGACCAACGGTCGCTAAGTTTAACATCGGGCGAAAATTTCAACTGCGCCTGTAACACTACCTTATATAAGTTGGCCTTGCTATCATCCTCACATATGTTCATCAGAGTATTCCAATGAAGGACGAGTTTATACAAGGAGATATCAAGAGCACAAAACTAATATAGAAAATTACACGCACAATGACAAACATGAACAAATGTACAACAAACACATAATTTTTGACAATCAGTATAGTTCGCATTTATATCAACGAGCAGCTTATTAAATTTGTTTTCATATGTGCATATATACATGTACACAAACATATGTCCATACACAAACATATGTACACCCATACCAATATATATACAACCATTCAAACATATGTACATACATGAAAACATTGCTGTCCATAAGTACATACATATGCCCATCAGTACATCAACGAAGCCCGTTTGCTTCATCATAAATATATCCATACAAACATATGTACATACGTACGAATGGATGTAGTTACGCGAAGCACGCTTGCATCATTTATACATATATTGCTTGGTAGCGGCAGAGCTGAAATGCGCAATGAGTTTGTCCATACATACATATATATGTATACATACATACGTGCATTCAAACTTCCTCTTCCCTATACTACCTTTATCTTCCTTCTCACTCATGTAACGTTTTCAGTTTTAAACATTTCACTATCCATTTTTGCGATACCGCCGCCTAAGAAATTTCACTTCAATAACGCGTAAAATCGCTTGGAAAATTATAAAATTTTTTTTTAGGTAAAGACGCTATCAATTAGGAAGGAGAGTATAAAGTGTGATCAGAACGATGGACCAATAACGTAAGCGAAAATCCATTTTCAAAATCGGGAGCAGAAGTTCTTGGTAACTGCGAAGAATATGCTTCTCCATCGCTTAACAAACTTCTCCACATTCTGGCTACAGTTCCAGCTAACAACGCTACTAAGTTAAGCTAAGCTGGCTAAGTTTTTAAATCCTTCGCCAGTTAAAAACATGATTGCGTAGTATCATGAATGAATAAAGACAGATAGGTCTAGCACTTTTACACGTACACTTAGATATTGAAATTAACACTGGAAGGATAATAGAAAGATTCGCAAAATGAAGGCGCA